TTAATGGTCCATTGTTTGCTGGGAAACTCCCTGACCCTGGGTGAAGTTCATTTATATTTGCTTAGTCCTGAATTTGATGTTTTTGAGGACTGATAGCCAAACTTTGTTTACTTTCAGGGTTTCTTCTTTCCTGTTGAAATTGTCCAGGTGTTTGTGGATTTCAAGGGCTTCCCTATGCATTCTGACCCGATAGTTGTTGGCACGGTCCAGAAAGTGTACCTTGAACCATCAGAAATCAAAGGTGTCACTGTATCAGCCACACATGAAAGAAAGAAAAAGTTTTGGTTTTGGGAGTATTTCGGATTTTGGAATTCTAGTTAAAGAAAACTCAACCTGTACTTCAAGCTTTTGAGGGGTAGGAAGGTTGTATATGAGAATCTTTGCTCATGCTTTCACCCCATACCATTTTTCTGGTTTAAATCATGTTCTTTATCAAGATGCTTCTTTGGAAGAAAATAAACATATAATATATGTATACAAATGCAGTTTTTTTTTTCATTTTCCTTACCACCCACCCACAGTAAGCCGTTTTGGAAATGGCACTGGTTGAAAAGATTTACCCAACCCAACTGTCCATTTCCCTGATCCAAATTAGCAGCCTTCTTCAGATGCTTTGAATAAAATAAAATACAACTTGAGAGATCCAATCATATTTTGTGTATGGTTCACCTCTGATGTTGTACAGTAGATGTCTCTGATTATCCATTTGAAGATATGTATTGTTTCTACTGTCTTTTTCTCCTCATGAGAAAATATACACTATTAGTCTTCTGCAATTTTGTTCGGATTGACTTTTATTTTCCTTGTGAAAATCCTTTCCCCACCCCCTTTCCTTTCTTCTGATGGATTTCTTCTCTCACTTGAGATTCTGGGTCCAAATTCCTACTCAGCCATGAAGGTCACTTGAACAAATTTCTAGAATGAATCACTAGTTCTTTGGATAAGCAGTTTTGTTCATTTGTATCACCTCCCCTTTTCCGTAACAATACTGCTATATGTATAGCATCCTGATGGCCTCGATGGAAGAACACCACACAGATATTTGTAGGAGATGTCAATAAGAAGGGAATCAGAGGCTTCGTGTACATTGCAAACTGTGCCTCCTCTTATAGCAGAAATGTGTTCAATATGAAGGAGATTAATGTGGTGGTATAGAGATGGAGGTCCCTGGTGATGATGCACATGCTACAAGAGAATTTATTGACATATTAAAACTGAATATGTTCCAACAATCACTATGTGATTGTGCCAGATGGTAGTTTGAAGTTGCATCTGATCAATGTAATCTGGCTTCTGGAAAGTGCCATTATGAGCTGTATTTAGAAATGGGGAATGGAAAAAGGTAGCAGGATTCTTGTGAAAACTGCCATCTGGTGTATTGGTTTGGTGTACTGAGAGTAAAAGGAAGCAGTAAAAGTGGAGGTGTGTCAAAAACGCCGAGTTCCTGTGAAAAAAAGGAAGCAAAATAAAACACTAAATCCAATTATTTGTATCTATATTTTATTTAAAAACATACATGTCAAGATATGTTTGGAAACATATATTTTTTCTTTGCCTTTTATCTCTTTCATACACAGTTTCTGTGGTATTTTTACATAAAAATTGCAAAGAGCATCCAAGGCAGTCTGTAAAGGATTTGATAGGTGTGAAAAATAAAGATTATTAACACAGTATCTGATTATATGCTCCAAGGTCTAAACGCACAGAAGGGCATGGTTTTGAAAACCCATGTATCTTCATTTTTGACACTTAACTGCAGATGATGAATTGTTGGGGAAGTGATTCATTCTGATGCATGGCCAATAACAATTTCTATAGAGAGGTTGAAAGCATATGTAGGACAGAGTTGGTAAAGTTCAGAATTTTCAGCAAACTGCTGTTATAATATAGTCTCTAATGCCATGTTCTCAAGCTATCTTATGCTGGGCACTGGCAAATATTTTTTTTAATCAGTGCACTAGGGGCTGATACCATACTTGTGCCCATTGGCTCCAATTATTTCTTTTTTTCCATGGAACTTCACCAGGGATTGGCAGTCAATGGCTCATGAACCAGCACTGGTCCATGGACCACTATTTTGAATACAACATCTAATGGCATTTACAAAGTTGTGAACAGATATTACTACATGTCATTCTGTGTTGCTGTATGCTGTATTGCTAGCATAAACTTTTGCGTACTATAGTCTGCTTCCACAGATGCACCCTGAAGATTTATGATAGAAATTTTAAAGCAAAAAAGGTGTGCCAGAAATTTCTTCTTCCTGATTAATCTCAAAGGTGCTACTGGGTTCCATTATGTCTTTTTAATGGATAAAACATACAAATCCTGAAGTCACACTAGTAAATATACTATAAAATCCGCTTTATCTTTGACTTGTAGTGATGGGGTAGAGAGGCTTGGGCAGCCTAATACAGCTACATTAGAGCTTCAAAAGACCATTAACGTTGATGGGCAGGGATGCACTTAAACCACATAAAATTTTAACCAAAATGGAAAAAGAGGCAACATTTTACAATTAAGAGACCAGAAGGTGGTGCCGCCCCTCTGAGCTCAATCGGGGCGGCTCACAAATAATAAAAATACAAGATACATTCAAACCCCTGTACCCTCCCCCCCTTAAAAAAACATTAAACCGAGTAAGAGTTAAAACCAACAAATAGAACTGAGCTATTGCAAATGACTTAACTGTGGATACTAACTAGTTTGGAACTAATCATGTCTGTTGTAGTGAAGATCTCTCCTCTTTGTTTTCTTAACAGAACCCATCCCTTACTGTACAAATATTTTAAATACAAGTAATTCTCTTGGACAAAGTGCATATGCGCCAAACTAAAGCATAACCCCCACCTGCCCCAATTTAGCAGCAACAGTCCCAATTAACCCACTGTCATTGTGCTTTTTCAGCTGCTTTAAAATATTCCAGTATCTTTCTCCTTCTCCCACGTTCCCTTTTTGTCTTCAGCTTACTTCAGTTGCTGCACATTGAGTTCAAAGGGCAAAAGTAGTTTGCACTCAATAAACTCAGCAAGGGGGAGAAAAGAACAGAGAATATAATCTTGTCCTTCCCAGTAGGTTCAGGCAAAAGTGAACTGCTGCAAACTTTCCTAGCTTGTGTGTTCTTTCTCATTAATAATGTCTGCTGTTTTGGTCACACTCTGATCTTTCTTGGCCACACATGTCCCAGTTTTCATCTGTGAAGTGTTGGAGAGTATGCTAAAGTTGATGATATTCATGCAGTATGGGTTTCCAAAGGGCAGGATATAAATAAATTTTATTATTATTATTATTATTAGTAGTAGTATGGCCAGACATATGTTTTAAAAAACTAAGTAGCTAGCTGTGTGGGACTGAGCTGGATGGAGACCATGGCATGGAGTGGGGCACATCTGTTTTATATAATGTGAAGAAAGTTCTTCCTTTTATCTGTGTTCAACCTAGTGACAATCAATTTCACTTGATTATTCCATATTATAGTATTACAGTGGGCACTTGGTAACTGCTGGGCTTTGGTTCCCCCCCCCCGCCCAAAACAAAATCCATGGATGCTCCCATTAAATACAATGCCATAGTAAAATGGTGTCCCTTATATACAATGGCAAAATGAAGGTTTGCTGTTTGGAATTTATACATTTTAAAAATATTTTCAAACTGTGGATACCTGAATCCATGGATAAAAAAAATCCATGGATACAGAGGGCTACTGTATAATACTGTACTATACAGTACTATAATAATGAGCCAGCGTGGTGTAGTGGTTTGAGTGCCGGATTGTGAGTCTGGAGACCAGGGTTCAAATTCCTGCTTGGCCATGGAAACACACTGGATGACCTTGGGCAAGTCACACTTTCTCAGTCTGAAGAGGAAGACCCCTTCTGAACAAATCTTGCTATGAAAACCCCATAATAGGTTTGCCTTAGAGTCGTCATAATTCAGAAACGATTTGAAGGCACACAACAATAGCAATGACATAGTATTATAAGAAAGGATGAAAACTCTTTTTCACATAATACATGTTTGTATAAATATCTATCATGTCTCATACCTGAAGACATTCACATTATAGAGAATGTCCTTTTTTATCCAAATGCCATTCCCCCTTCACTGAAAAGAATAATTCTCTCATACATACCTTGAGTTTAGCCAAAAACAATTTCAAATCCCATGTGGTGTTCATTCTTAGTACTAATAATGAGGGTAAGACCTTTTTATTTGTAAATCTTTTATTTGTTAGTAAACCTTATGTATTTTAATTGCAGCATTTAATTTTTTACTGCTGGTTGCAGGGGGGGGGGTAAATTTTTGCTTGTGAGGAGGTTTTTATCTTTTTGGGAGGCTGCTTTTATATGTGGAGAATTTACATATTCTGTTCCAAGAAAAAGCTAAAATTAGAAGATCTAATATACCTTTCAAAATAAATGTATACGGTACAGTAATTCAATAGAAGATGTTAATTCCTCAAAATAGCACAAATCCTATAAAACTCTGCTGCCATTATTATTTAGTTTCCTGAGGTTCAACTCACTCTCCTCTATGCCTGCCTTTCTATTGTCCATTAGCTTAATGTGACACAACAAAGGCATTTAGAGAGCCGTCTGTATAATAAATATGCAGTAGTAGGGAATTTGTTGTAATGTCATCTTTTTCAGAGCCTTATTTCCTTAATTTGTGACATGGAGCCTTTGTACCAGATCATGATGTGTGTTCAGCAGTGAAAATCATCTCCCTCACCCCAGCCAATTGAAATATGAATGGCTCATGTTGCTCCAGGAAGACAGATTAAAAGGAAGGAAATAACAGGGTTGGCAAAAGATACCATCTGTTGGATAGCGAGCTATACTTTCACATCTGATCTGTTAGTTTGTTCTCAGAAGAATGGATAGCTTTTTTGACCCTTGGGATATAATTTTGATATTTGATCAAACAGAACACAGGCAGTCAAGTGTCTTATCTATTATTTACACCAAATGGAAATGTGTCCCGTTTGCTAGCGCTAATGGCAATAGGGGCCCTGTAAAATGCCTCCATATAGCCTACTAAAACAATAGTTTTGCATTTCTATTTGCTCTTATATATCCTAGCTTTCTGATAAAAAATTAGAAATAAAAAATTTAAAAATTTGAATTTCAGCAATGCATGGCATAGAAGGATACTGAGAAAAGTTCTGGGTGATATTTTGTACTACAACAAACAGTTAATTGTATACAAACTGTTATAAAAAATCCAAACTTTGGTAAGCAGCTGTTGTACACTAGTGTAACATGTGGCTCTATGTACAACAATGTACTGTAAGACATTTCTGTGTGGAGACTGTTCACAGACAGACATAGGCTTGTATTAGGAAGATATGTGTGCATATATGACAAAATCTAGATAATGCCTAGCTTTGAGGCTTGTATTAGTAAGATATGTGTGCATATATGATAAAATCTAGATAATGTCTAGCTTTGAGATGCAGCAGTACTGTAGCATCCAGTGATAAGGATGAACTAAGTTTGAGTTTATTGTTATTTTCCTAGGTAGTACAGATGGTTCACAAATGCAAAACAATACCTTTCATCTCCAGGAAGCAAGCAAGGTAGCATCTATATCACTTGGAAATTAATGTGGCTCTGGCTAATCTACAAAATTACGTCAGCCATGTTTATGAGGAGCACATCCCAGCATTAATCTGACTAAAGAGACATTGAACGTGTTGCCTACAGCAAGGTAAGACTAACACTTCTTGATGTAGATTGAAGACCTCTATATTTGCTATATTATTTTGTCAACTGACATTATGCAGTTCACTCCATTTCTATATTACAGTGTAGTTGAGATAGAGTAATATTTCTGGTTTAAACACATGTACTCATTACTCCTAGAATTTCTGTTTGTTCTGTGTTTTAATGGGTATATTCTTGTGATCTGTAATCTTACATAAAAATCTGTTGTTAAAGGAGATTATAGCTGTGTAAGGGGAGAGATGGATACGTTACCACTCAAATGTCACTGTACTGCTAATTAATAGAAAAATAATCACTATACAGTCGGATCTCCATTTTCGTGGGGGATCAGTTCCAGACCCCCCCTCTGCAAAAACAGAGATTCGCAAATATTTAATCCCCATTGGTTTGAATGGGGTGCATCCCATTGATTTAAATGGAGGTCACCCCTCTTTGAATATGCAAAACCGCAGACTTCAAGTCCACAAGAACAGAGGGGCGACTGTATGTCAAATGGTGCTTTGCTGCTCTTGGGTATATGCTGTTTGGGATATATATATCCCCCTTCCCACTGTATGCTCTGCTTGTGATATGCTTTGCTTTATGACAGCTCTGCTATCCATACACTAAAAAGCCATTCTTTAAACCTGAGCTGTTGAGCAACAAGAGCTGCTCTTTTAAGATTTGAAAAGTCACCTTTGTTTCTCAACAAGTGGCAGGTGGTAATACTAACAGTTTAGGGAGGTGGTATTATTATATTAAAGGTAATATAATAATCCCTGTTCGGCCAAGGCAACCAATGGATGACCCTGGCGAAGGCACACTCTCTTAGCCTCAGAGGAAGGCAAAGGCAAACCCCCTCTGAAAAAATCTTGCCAAGAAAATCCCATGATAGGTTCACATTAGGGTTGCCATTAAGTTGGAAATGCACACAACAACAAAAACAAAGTATTAGTATTTCAACTAAGAACTGTTTGCTTCTCACCATCCTGAAAGTGAATGGCTTATTTATTTCTCAGCCTCACATCTGCAGTCCAGGTCAGAAATTCTGTACCAGTTGCCTGCTACTATAATCATTGTAAGAACAAAAGAATTCAGTTAATATGATTGCAAGAGGGGAACCAGGCCTCAAAATTAGGGCAGTAGCCATTTTCAGCTACCAGTAGCCCATACCTGGTGCAAATCAGTGGCATCAGTAGGAGATATGGTGTGTGTGTGTGTGGATTGCACCAGGTGACACCCTAAAGAGGTGTGTGACACCAGTGCTTTTCAAACCTTTCTGCAAACTTTTTGCAGAAATGGGCTGTGGCAGTCATCTGCTTCCCGTTAAAATGCTTTAAGGGATGATGGGAGTGAGGTGAAACTCAGTGGGAGGAAAAGGAGAGGCCCCAGAATTTTTCAAAATTAAAATTTAAAATTTAAAATTTTTGTTTTTTTAATTATTTTTTTTAATTTTTAAATTCTTTCAATATTCTTTAAAAACATCACATTTTAACCAAATATTCACTATGTACAGTTGTACCTCTACTTAAGAATGCTTCATCT